TGTGTGTCAATGGGCTGATCTTGAGGTCGTTCAGCAGAGGTCGAGACGCCAGCAGGAGGCTTTTTTAACCTTAACTACTATTGGCTAACCATGAAGTGCAACAGAAATCTTTCTTACATAATAATAATTATCCCAGTAGCTCATGAGCCAGAGGTTTGCTGATGGCCAAATTTGGTATCAATGTTTATAAGCCTTGTTGCATACAGTTGTCATGCATTTTAAACAATTCAGTGCTAAAAGAAACATTTGAATACAATGATGTGGCAGATCTAAATATTTTTTATGTGATCATGAGATGCAAATTTGCAATCATATGTTAAATATCAGATTTTTTTTAAAATCACAAATCTGTGAAGCAACCTCCAATACAATGTTAAATGTTATCATTGGACCTCAGACGAACCCAAGTCAGTGTCCAACAGCTATCTTCTATGACTCATCATTTCTCGTACACAGGGGCTCGTCTTTTGACTGCCATTGTCTGTCCTCTCAGCAGCCATAAATCCCTTTCTATTTCAGATCACATGCCAATGGGGTCGCATACCACGTTCCCCAAACCCTCCCCCTCCAAACAAAGCTTAATCCTCCTCCAGCAGGCAACAGGTGGACCCTAAATTTGGGCCATGCCACCCGAGTTAGTGGTGTAAATGTTGTTAGGGGAAGTTTGGGGATGGAGAGACGGTGTGTCCGAGGCGGGGATTAGGGGGTGTGTTGTGGGAGGGTTACACTGGGCGGGAAAAGGACAGATATGCCAAAGAGCTCAGTGGAAAAATATCTGATCTAGATCTCTTAAACAAATGATTAAATTTCACCCCCTCGCTGACACACCTCCACATCACGCCACGCTTGCTGACTTTGCCTTTTCTGCCCACATTCGAACATTTAGAAAGAGAACCCGACACCCGTCATGCAGACCCAAGGGGCCCCAAGCATAGTCATGTGGGTCAGTGTGACTATGACTAAATGTAGAGAAACTTTACACCATCAGAACAGTGGCTTAGAAGCATCACCAATATAGTTTAAGGGTTCATGTGCGCAACCAGGAGCAGGGAGAGATTTCCAAATCACATGAATTCATACAGAGAGAGCCAAGAACAAGAATAGAACTACAAGTACTGACTGAGTGTGTGTGTGTGTGTGTGTGTGTGTGTGTGTGTGTGTGTGTGTGTGTGTGTGTGTGTGTGTGTGTGTGTGTGTGTGTGTGTGGGGGGGGTGTGTGTGTGTGTGTGTGTGTGTGTGTGTGTGTGTGTGTGTGTGTGTGTGTGTGTGTGTGTGTGTGTGTGTGTGTGTGTGTGTGTGGTTGGCCAGGTCAGTCAGTTCAAAAATCATGTTACACTGAAGTCGCGTGATGGAAGGCAGGTGTTGCACGTGTGGTCAGCGTCACAGTGTGGGACAGCCAATCACAGTCACACCAAATTGCATGTCAGTCGAGTCATCTGCTGTGAGAAAAACTATAAAATCATATGTTTAAAAAACCTCAGACACAAATAAGTTATGGGTTACTTTATCGATACAATGAATGACCATCAAATAAAACGTTTACTAAACTGCAGATCACCAACTATGATTTTACAAAGTTCAAAAAGAGGTAGGCTATAGATGTGAATTCAGTTGACTAAGATAACAATCTATCAAAAATAAACAATTGTAAATGTGAGCTAAATAAATGCTTTTCTGAAATAAATAAAGACAAGCATCTTTACTAGAATGAGTACAGTAAGTATTGCTAAAAGTATGGGACAAGAGGCTTAGGATAAACGTTAGTTAGTCATAAACACGAGAACAAAAAGTTTTAACCACCCGGAACTGGCTAGCTTAGCAAAAACACTGAAAACAGGGGAAACAGCTATCCCTTTAGTCAAAAACGAATTAGGCTAAGAGAAACAAGATTTTTTTAACAGATTAATTAATTAATCATCTTGAAATGTGCTGGCAGGTGGATTTGCTTACCATTGGACAGGGCAGACTATTTGTTTCCCTGCTCACTTCAGTCTTAATGCTAAGCTAAGCTAACTGACCTCTGGCTGTGGCTTAATATTTACTGTACAAATATGAGAGTGGTATCCATATTCTCATCTAACTCTCGGCAACGAAGCAAATAACGTTTTTTACCAAAATTACAAACTTGTTTTTAAGTTAAAACGGCAGCGTCTTTAAACTAAAGTGAGTGTTTGATAGTTACACATTGAGTTAATACTGACTATTGCCATGTATCTGCGTGGCAACAACCCAACTAATTATGAAGCTCTCTGCAGCATGCTTGCAGTCATTCAAGACTGTGGTTGGTGACCACTGGAAACATTTTAAAAAGCACGCACACACACACACACACACACACACACACACACACACACACACACACACACACACACACACACACACACACACACACACACACACACACAGACCTTTTGTCCTCCCTCATGACATGCACACCTCCCGATAATATTAAATTACACATAACATTGGATTAATTTGACATTTTGTTGCAACAATATGCAAACTCTCTTTTCCCTCTCGACCCTTCTCGTGTGTTCTACTAGTACTCACTATTGTATGTGCATGAAGTGCCAATGGGATCAAATTCATATGTGGACCTGCTGGCACCATCAGCACATTCACTCAAAGGTCAAACAGCCACCTAGCCCAAAGTGGCACCCATAAACGCTATGCACCCAGGACCAACGTTCACTGTTTACTCTTTTGATGAGACTCTTGCCAAGTGACAAGTGGCCCGATCAGGGCCGGCCCGTAGCACTGGCGTTATAGATGTTCGTCTAGGGCGCCAGATCTGGGGAGGCGCTGCGCTGGTAGCTCTGGGAGGGAAAAAAACATTTTTGACCGTTGGTGCTCATCCTCATTTTCGGCCTTGATGTAACAATATTCATAATTAAGTAAATGTAACACCCTTTTCACCCCAGTTACACGTTTCATTTGCCCTGTACGATGGACGCTGTAAGTGATGAAAATGGGGAATGTTGGCTTATCTGGTGCCCGCAGCTCACAGCCAAAATGTGAGTGNTGATGACGGATGGACTTTTATGGACTTGAAGATATTTTTACTTTAATCTAAATTACATTTGTGATTTACAATCTTTGTTGTGATACTTTTATGAGCATAAACATTTATGTTATCAACATTTGGTTGAAAACAAAATAGGCCACCACAAACGTGAGCAAAAATGGAAAAATAAAATGTATTTCCCATGAAGGCTAAAAATTGCATATTATTTCAGTTAAAAAACTTTGCCACCTTATTTAAATTGAAACATATTATAAAATAAATTGTACAGTACATTTTGCTCTGGTAATCCACTGGAAATCCACCCCTCTGGTGGGATCAGGATAATCCAGTTTTTTGGGATCAAACTGATCCCAATCCGGTTTGAACTACCCATTTTGAAGATTTGATCCAGATTGAAGCTTGGATTGGATTTCCTGATCTGATCAGATATCAAAGTGATCCTAATCCTGATTTTTGGTTTTGAACTACCCAAAATCCAAATCTGATTTGATCAGATAGGGATTAAAAGTTTTGAACTCCTGGGCCCTGATGAGTAAAAGTAAAAATAATATGGGCTTTAAAGGTGTCCTACCTTCGTAACATATGGATGAGAGCAGCTCCGAGCAGACCCTTTCAACCCACGGCCCGAAGCTGAGCATGGCAACGCACGAGTCTTCAATGTAGTTTTCATCAGGCTTGGGGAAATCTGGCAACAGCACGTAATGCGCTTCTTCTGGCCACCGCGTTATTTTGCAACGAGCTGGGGTTGATGGAGTTGATGCCGCTGTTGCGGCTGTTGCGGTTGCAAATGTGGTTTCTCGAAGATGACCAGTCGAGTTTCCTGTAGCTTGGATTGCCATTGCTGGTGTGATCGAGTCTGGAGTTCCCGTTCCTGGGGTTCCAGAGTCTGGAGTTCCCGTTCCTGGGGTTCCCGAGTCTGGAGTTCCCGTTCCTGGGGTTCCCGAGTCTGGAGTTCCCGTTCCTGGGGTTCCGGTTCCTGGGGTTCCAGTTCCTGGGGTTCCAGTTCCTGGGGTTCCCGAGTCTGGAGTTCCCGTTCCTGGGGTTCCTGAGTCTGGAGTTCCCGTTCCAGGGGTTCCGGTTCCTGGGGTTCCAGTTCCTGGGGTTCCCGAGTCTGGAGTTCCCGTTCCAGGGGCTACTGTTTCTGGGGTGACCGTTTCCGGGGCTGCTGTTTCCAGGCTGGCCTTTTCTGTGCAGACAAAGTAGTATCTGTTTGGGAGGGAGGATCTGAACACGGGCCAACCAGGGTACCAGTTCTGGAAGATCAGAGGGTCTCCGTTGGCCCAGCGGAACCACGGCATTCTGGGATCCATGATGGTGTTGTTGTTGTTGGTGGTGGAGTTGTTGGTGCCGTTGTTGGTGGAGTTGCTGGTAGAGTAGCTGTTGAAGTTGCTGGTGCCGTTGTTGGTGGAGTTGCTGGTGGAGTTCTTGCGGAGGCCAACCCAGCAGTCAGAAGTGAGTAACTTGGAGACTGTTTGGACGTTTTCAGGGGTCAGTGTCACCAGGTCTTTGAAACAGGCCTGAGAGGACATGGAAGGGGGACAGTCAATCTTCAACAGAACATCTGCTATAACGTAGGGCTGCTCGATTATGGCAAAAATCATAATCTCGATTATTTGGGTCAATAATTGATATCACGATTATTAAAAACGATTATCCAATTGCCTTGAAAACATCCATTTGTTGAAAAAAAAAAAAAATGTGAACAGTATGTTTATAACAGTTGATTACCCTGAACTGTAAGTATAATTCAACTGAAAACCAATAAAAAATAAAATAAATAATCGTTTTATTTAGATTATGTTATTTTCATAATCGTTGCAAGCCAAAATCGCAATTGCGATTAAAATATGATTAATTGAGCAGCCCTAGTATAACGCAACTACTGTATGTCATACTGTGATATTAAGAATGTTAAGTTTGTTATACAAGTTGTGACACCTGCTCTGTTTTGTTAAAGGAGTTGACATCTATGAAAAAGATGGTTCTCTACATACTCAAATTGTTGCTGCCTTTCTGATTAAAAAACGCAACCTTGAATATTTGAATACTGTCTAGCCTCATGTTTTAGTCTCTTTTTGTATATTATATTGATCTTCGTTTTGTACCTGGCAGTGGTTCCTGGCCTCCTCCCAGGTGCGATTACTCGGATGAAGGAAGTATTCTCGCTCTGCGGCGCTCCAAGCAAACACCAGAGCTAAAGAGAGACATACAGACATGGAGATTGGTCGTTTGTCGACAAAGCTCTGAAGTAGGGAAATAAATGCCATTTCCAATTTCTCAAACTCACAGACAAAATCTTTTCAATTTCGTGTTTTTTCCAACAAAAGGCATTGAAAACAAAAAAGAGTATTAAAGGTGTGGTATGTAATTTATTTCAGAAAAACTTTTTGTTATTGCAGATTTGTTTTCGGATACGTAGTTTCAAAAATTCTAGCGCACTCGAGCTGGTTTCTACATTCTTACCTCCTACCTTTAAGAGGATGGGTATGTATGCCGTTCTTGCTTGAAAATTGACCAACAGTTACTAAATAATAATAAATAATAGTCACTAAATAAACATTTAAAAAAATGCATCTCTTTGGTTATAAACACAACCCAAAGTAATCTATGAACGAACTTCAGATCTATTTATTTTTACTAAGAGTTAGAGATGACATTTAAGGTAAACTTTTTTTAATTGAATTTCAAACATCACTGGCTGTATTCAGTGGACCTCTAAAAATGTAATTAGGAATAATTGATTACAATTCTATTTAGCTGCAGCTTAAACATTTGCTTCATAAAAATGATTAATTATAATTATCAAAGGAATACAATTTATAAAAATACTCACCCAGAGAAACCACGAAAGGGACTCTATTCTTAAGAGATGTCTGTCCCATGTTGAATTAGTGACGGTACTCAATTCAGGGCAGCTTCTTAAAATGTCACCATGCAAGAGATTCTTTCAAATAAAATCTAAACAAGTGGGAGCCAAGTTAAATACATTAAAACTAAGTTCTTACTAATAGTGTACGCGTCTCATTACTACAGATGCATCTTGCTTCTCTGAACAGGAGGAAATTATCTCTCAGGATGAGATGTGAAACAAATAGACACCTGTTCCAGTAACACATACGGTCAAAGGTTCATGAACAGCTCATTTGACTGGAAAAACATTGACTCCATTCAACCAAGAAAGGGAATATTAGTATGGAGGCTACTGGTTTTGCATCTGTCTCCTGTACATGCAAAACAGGGGAGGCAATAACCGGGTAGATACAAAGACAAAAACACACATTTATGTTGAATAAAAGAATACAAGAATAGATTTATGTTAAGCATTTATTTTGGCTTACAGCTTTGGGTTACAAAAATGCCAATTAGTACAAAAGAAGCCATGAAAAAATTACAATGAAAATATAGAACGATAAACCTCTTATACAAAACTAAGTTCCCAAATCATCAACAAAGATATCGAAATGAAACAAATGCCTTTCGTTTATTTTTTTGGCAGTGTAAAAACAAAAAGTGATTGAAAGGACTGACAGGGATCGGTCACATCGAGTACTGGTGACACATCGCATGGTCTGAGGCCAAACATTTAAACAGAACATCAGATCACATGTATTTAGTTTTCCCAGACAGTAGTCAACATCTGAACAGTGCCTTGCATCTTAGAATACACAAAAGGCGATGTGATGCAAATTTGAGTGCAAATGTATTTGTTCCAACATTTTTCAACAGGTACTACTGTATATAAAAGTTACAAAAACGAAAAGGGTGATCCAGCCAGCCCCATATCTACCGAATCCGCTGTTCATTTAACGAAACAAAAAAGCATGACAGCACATTTTACAGTTCCCTGCAAACAGAATCACCAGCATTCAAGAGGAGGCAACGCTGAGGTCAACTGACCGATGATTAGAAACAACAGGGCTGAAATGTAGTTACAGCTCATCGTGATAAAAAAAGAAAAGCAGTCAAGCCTGTGAATTCCTTAATCTGGCCGTTTTGATCCCCTTCCCAGCTCATTGTTATGTCTGAGCTGGATGCAACATATGAGCAAACTACCTAACATGGACGCACAAAAGCTTGGAATTATATAATGATCATAGGCCTGTCGCGATAATCGATAAATTGACTTATGGTACGATAAATGAAAATGGACTCGATAACTTTTCTGAGCTCTATAAATTGCCGTTTACATGCGTGTTTGCTTACATAAGGATGTGACCAGCATTTTAGCTAGGAGCGCCACTTCGAAAAACAGATTTGGATATGGCCTGTTGAGGCATCCGGGTCTTTGTATGGACAGTGGACTGTACACATGACTGTTGTTTTAAGGAGATGTTTTTTGATTGTGAGACAATGTGTGCTCATATTGATTTATTTATATATATATTTATCTATCTATCTATATAGAGATGGATAGATAGATGGATTGAGAGCTCTGTTTTCCAGCCTGAGTCTATTTAATGTATTGTTTTGGTTGCGTGTGATTTAATTAATGTATTATAATTGAATTAATTTGTTGTATTTATTATATATAATTTATATATTTTAATATTATTTCACATTTCATTTGCAATGTTGAATGTTCAATAAAAAGTTATGTTTGAAAGGATGTACTAGAATTATTATGATTTATTATCATTATGTCAGTGGTCTAAAATGGTCTTACAATGGTGCCGACAATATTATAGTTTATTGCAATAATTTCCAGGAACATTTATCGTCCAACAAAATTATTTATCGTGACAGGCCTAAATGATCATATAATATGATGCCGTCAGGGTATCTGCCGGAGTCCTAGTGGGCCCCGGCGGGTATAGTCACATCATTGCCAAGCGCCATAAGGCATGGAAATCAGTTTTTTTTATTCATTTATAGACAAATCATTCCACTAGGTTTTGTGTAGGCTATAATATTGATGCTTCCACAAGACATAGCTTAATTAGCTTGCTTAAACAAGATTATTAGGGTAGACATAAAAGGCAAAAAGCTGTTGCACCATTAATGCTACAATCAGTATTTCCCCCTGCTGTGCCCACAACAAAAAGAGACTTGGTCCCAAGTCCGTGTCTAAACCCTGAAAGTATTACAGCCACACTCATGGACAGTAACATCCATTCAAGTTCTCCAAGCGTGATTTTTAACAAATGGCAGTGACTTGTTTTAATTCAATCTTGCAACAACAATAAAAAACTATTAAAACTGAAACGTTTTCTTTAGATTTCCTCGACTAAAAACAACGTATAGGGAGCGCTTTGTTAGCCGAGTGGTCACGGCACATGCCAAATACTGGTTTGTTTCTCGTTTGGGACATTTTGTCAAATGTTATTCCCCTTTTGTTCTTTCTCCCCCTCCTTTCTTCACTGTCCTCTTGCAAATAAAAGACAAAATGCCAAAAAATAAAAAACACTTGTAAAAAATAATGCATTATAAATGACAACATGACTTACACATGTAAAGATAGAAACTCGTGAAAATCCCTGCCAAGGTTAACACTGATTAAATAAAGTCCCTCCTAAACAAATTGGCAATTTTACAGGACCTCATGATGCACCGAGGACATTGAGGATGGAGCAGTCCTGCTTACAGTATGCATCCCCTACATAACCTATTCAGCCTTTATTCATTTCTAAACGTGAAAAACACTAACACCGCAAAGTACTCCGAGTACAGTAAACGGTCGACGGCAGTACAGTTATCGGATCAAGGGCACGGAGGCAGGAAGTGGTATGATTTTGGCGAATAAAAGCCTGACATAAACCTGATGGGAGGGAGGGAGAAAGAGAGGACGTTAGTTCTCATGATCACTCCTTAGTCGCTGTCACTCTTGTCTCCTCTGTGAAGGGGTCTCTTTCCGCTGGGAGGCGGAGCAAACTCGTGTTTCACCCTGGTCTCAGGTTTCCTGTAGAGAAGAAGCAGGACCAATCCAGTGAGGGATAGAAATGATGGCATGTGAGACAGATTCTTAAAATGATTGAATAACCTAAGTTGACCTGGTAGTCAGATTGGATTTTTAAAAAACACACAGTGACCTCTAGTGTCAGGTTATATGTAAAGAAGGGGCTAAAAATCCAGTTGGAGAAATTAAGGTTTGAACGGCAATCTCTGAAAGTCATTCAGGTGGTTTTCCAGGATGCATTTTTTACCTGTCTTTGTCCAGCAACTCCAGACCATCGTTGATTTTCTTCAGCATCTCGTAGCGCTCGCGACCACGAACCTGCAGGAGAAACCAAAGAGGGACATTCTTCAAGCAGAATGCAACATTTTATAAAGAAATTGAGCTTTAGGTGTCTTAACTTACATTCAGAACAAACGCATCCTTGTCGTCCTCATCTGCACTGGAGGTGGGCCTGGACTTCTTCATAGAACTGGAGCCGGGGGTGCTCTCTGAGGAAAGAGAGTGAGGTTAGCGAGGGGGCAGCAAACGGGCTCAAATATAAAGGAAAGCAGGAAATACTTACTGCGCTTTTTAGTTTGCTTGGTCCCACTCTGCATCTTGGTGCTGCTCTCCTCATCGGTTTTGCGGTCCCTGCCTGGACAAGCACAGATGCGAACCTCTAAGCACCTCCGCCCCAAAACGAGCCCCCTAGGAAGGAGAAGAACAAAAAGGAGGGCTCAAAAGGCTTCCTGAGCAGCACAAACAACTTAAAAATGTAGCAGGATCGCCACAACACTGCCGCCACCACCGGCTGAACTGGGTTGTAAAAGAAGCGGGACTTACTCTGCAGTCTCCAGGGTCAGGATGGTGAGGATGGGGCGCCTGTTCATGCCCCCCATGCAAGAGCTGTTGCACATGAAGCTCAGCAAAATAGTTGTTATCTCTGAGCCCAACTGAAACAGAGAAAGTAGGATGTTTTTAAACAATGCTGGTTAAAGTGCATACAATAAGGGGGATTTTCCTAAAATCTTCATCGACCCACCTGGTTGTCCAAAATGCACTACACATTTGGAATTTGTGAAACACATCATGAACCGTTTCACAACTTTTGCATGCACATTGAATTTCCTTGCTGAATTTACAGTGTTCATATACTCACGTAGAAAAGGTCACATGAATGTGAAGGAGTAAAATATGACTGCTGCAGTGGACAAGATCAACCCCTCAGACAGATGGGGTGGGGAGGGCGTACCTGAGGGAGCTCGTAGGGGACAGTCACACTCTGCCTCTTGGTGTTAGGGTCCTCAAAGTACTGGGCCCTTTGGCTGCCCTCAACCCTGATCAGGTGGCTGCGGTGGTCGGCAGCTGAAAGGAGAACAGATTAGAAAATGTTAAAATGGCCTCTTCAACGAGGAAACGTGTCCTCTGTACATCCAAAGCAATTTTTCTCTCAGATATTTCTCTTACCGTCCTCGTTCTGGTGATGGGGACATCTGCGTACCACTTCTGCCACATGCTCCGTTTTTTTATAAACTGCCGTAGCCCTGATGATGGCCCCTAAAGGAATCTCCTTCCCCAACAAAACTTCCACTGGGGTGGTCTTGGCTAGCTGGCAGTACAGTTTGTTGAGCTGCTCCGAATACTGAGGGAAAGCACAGGGAGAAACCACACGGGTCATGATGTGTGCACTTGTGGAGCTATAGAGCTGTGAGTACATATTATAATGGCCTGTAATCCATCCATTTTCCCCAAAATTAACATAGCTGGCTATTTGAAATATAGTCACCAACTGAAAAGAGTTATAAAACACACTTTCATTCAAACATTCACCGATCGGACTCCTCGCAGAATTAGCTGATTTCACTTGATTGAACCGTATTTGATTGCTCTCAAAGCTCTCTCAATGTTTTTACCATTTTCTTAAAACTGTTTTCTTCACTTCATGTTGACTGTGCTCACGCTATAGACCATATTCTATGTTGAAGACAATAAAATGTCTATCTAATAAAGAAACCATTAACCAAATTGTCGTCTAAAAAAGAAAGAAGAACACGATCAAGGTATCTAAATAAGCAAGTCTAAAAATGTCAAATTAAAAAGACAACTTTTACCTTGCTTTCGTCTGTTTTTAACCCATTCAGTGCTGGAGGAAGACAGCAGGAACATGCCCCGTCATGTCAGGGCAGAGCTTTACAACCGCTGTCCCACAGACAGAGAACAAGTCGCAGGGGGCGGGACTTTCAGGGCCCACCAACCTAACCTCTACTAAACCGGCCAACTGCAGCGCTCTGCTGGGTGAGTCACCGTGGATACATTAATGCCATTGGCTCGTCAAACACAGTGACTGGCTCAAGACCTGCAAATTCAGCGAATCGTCACAATGAATAAGATTCCACTCGAATGCCACCATGAGATGTACGAAATAATGGATTTTAAACGCAATACTGAAGGTAAGATATTAAAACTTTGTACGGAAAAACTTTCCCTAATGTTTTAAATGAGTTGTTGGTGATAAAAACGTCAAATGATTTGTTAGTGAGTTTAATATAGTCAAACATTTCAGTTATTTAACCTTTAAATTCTGTATGGTCAAGTCGGTTTAGATAAAGGGAATTCAAACGTCACAGGTTTGAGGATTCTACATTAAAAACACTATGGATGGAAGGACCTCAGAGGAGCAGGAAATGGCAGAAATTAGCAGCTGAAAAAATCCTTTTGTCTTCTCAGAGGAGAACCCTGCCATGTTTGGTTGCAGGGTCATCTGCAGCCCTTTTCAACTTCTCTCAACATTTAGATTCAGACGAAATTCTTTAAACTTTTTACTCAATAAAGTACAGATTTATTTTGTGTTAGTAGTAGTTTGTCTTATCGATCAGAACGGATACAAGACAAATCATCTGGTATACACGTGAAGTCAAATAAGTATTAGTTTTTACTTTTGAGAGACCATGCCTGGAATTACTTACAGTCGAAGTGACAGATTTAGCTGTGCCAGTCTTCTGGAATTGAAGCTGGAATCCATATTCCCCCGGATGGTCCGAAGTCACCGGGACTGTGGAGGAAGTCGGATTCACCCCATCCATGGTGGACATGTCTGGAGGAGGCAGCTCGAATAGCTCCTCATCAAAAACCTCAGTCAGAGAATGATCATTAAGTAACTGTAAAAAGGAGGGGAATGACAAAAACAGTCAACCACCATTAATAAATCAATTCAGATTGAACATACCATCATTTGAGTATTGACAGAAAGCAAAGTAATGTGCATGTTTACCAGCATATCCATGTTGTGGCCATCTGTTCTCCATGTTTCCTCAGGCGTTGGGGCCAGATATGAGAGGGGGGGAGCTGAACTGCAAAAACCAAACACAAGTCACAAGTTAGTTAACATGTCTTTTCTGGAGTATACTAGTATTTTGAAATGTTTTATTTAAATAAAAAAAAAACACTTACACAGTGTTCCACAGCTCACTGAAGGAGTCCTGGCTCAGCTGCATGGTTTGGCTCAATGTCAGATCGTCCAGACTTTGCTCTTCCATCGTCATTTCAAAAAAGGGAAGAGCAAAGGTGCAGAGCGCTAAGGGGATAAACAGGAAGTAGGTGTCAGACTGTCAAGTCTTTATCAAACACTCACAGCTTCATCAATTGGTGTATGATTCACTATTAAATAGTTTTATACATCTTCTTCTTTTTTTGGTCAATAGATTGATCACGAAACAGTCAAAAATAATCTTCAATTCTCAAGTGATAAAAAGTTAGATTTTCCAAAATAACACTTTTGATTAAAAATAGGCATAAACAGTGTAAATAAACTAACATTTGAAAATAGATAGACAACCAGGATATGACTTCTATTTGATGAATGACCTGTCAGTTAACTTACAATACACAGACAAGGAGAAATTCATGGCGAGGGTAACGAAATGTAAAGAAAGAATAAACATTGTACTTCGCCTGTCACACCGAAATTAGAATTCACAGCGTTGAAAATAAGTGAAGTTTACACTTATTCTTAAATGTACTTTCTGCTCAATAAAATGCTAACATTTAATATAATTGCACATTTTTAAGATTAAGGCACATTACAGCAAGTTGTGTTTAAGTTAACAACTAAAACAAGGCAAGCTAGTTTGGTGATGAGCGACTCTCAAAACAAGAACATAAGACAACACGTTACCGTCCATTTTCTTTCTAGCAAGAGGCCCTCACAAACTGAATGAAGCTAGCCTCCATATCTGCACTTTTCAAAATAGCTCAATGAATGCCACTTGATTTAACGCCAAAATGTGCAAACAAGCAAAACTCAATGCACGGTATAACAGGTTTCGTCCATAGACTGTATAGAAAGGTTTCGTCTCGCAATTAACGCACACTTGTGTTAGCTTAGCTTTAGCTTAAGTGGCTAATTACGTTGGCAATACGTTTCGGAATCCGACCGACAAACGTTAGCCAAACAGCGGCGAAACTTTTTGATCGGACAAATAAGTGGCGCTGGGTGACTTGCTAAGAATGACACATGTGTGCCAACAATGCTACCTTTATGTGTCCCACTACTGCTGTCCGAGGCAGATGAGTCACTGGATGAGGCGAAGTAAACAGGCGAAAAAGTCAAAATATTTTGGACTATGTGGAGCACGTTGTTGTCGGGGAATCCCACCAAAAGGAAGGGGGATGGGCAGGTTTTTAGCTCCACTCTCTGGCCAATCACAGAGCCTCATGTGGTCTGACGCAAACGAATGAAACATCGCGATATGCTGCGGCTGCATTCATGATTTCCGGAAATATTCCAACTCAAGAAAGACCGCACAAAAAATAGAGGGAGTTGCATGTCATGGATGTTATATTTGTAGATTGTTTAATTATTGGTTAGGGTTGGATTAAGATTAACCTTTATGTTGACAAACTCTGGAGTGACACACAGTCCGTTTTTCTGCAAAAAAACACTAAAAATATTATGTTTTAGAAAATACTAGCTTCTTATGAGCATCTGAAGGTAAACGTGTATTTAAAAAAAAAAGTTTAACCTCAACTTTTAGGGCCCAACATTTATATACTACAGTTTTCAAATGACTAAAACTGTTTCTTAATGTAAACCATTGCATTGCATGACTGCATATGTTAACCCTAAAACATCAGCATCATCAACAAACCATATTTGTAATGACATATTCCAAAGTATTATGCACAAAACAATGCACAGTAAAGTTGTAACACCTTGCAGCTGGTTGAGTTCCTGTAAAGCTATCTTTGAGGGCAGAACCAGCATTACTCCAATGTTTCTCTCTCTCGAGGGAGGTCAGGGGTCAACTTTAAGCAGCATCACCTTACTTAAGGACTAAAAGGAATTTCTCCAGCATGATAGATAGTCCTACTGTTGTACTGTATATTGGGCTTAAAACTTCAGATTAAATCTGTTACTTTCACACTAAAACGCTGTGTATTGATTACATGATCTGCTCTTACAGGCTGGGTGACGTCATCCCTCATCACCCTTGAAATGTCCCTGTGCTGATTAGATAAACTTCTATTCCATGGAGACCAGAGCTGCTGAGAAACTCCAGTAAAGACTTTAGGTGCCTGCAGCTGCTGCATCGGGCCCAGGGCCGGCTCTAGACAATTTGCAGCCCTAGGCGAGATTTTAGCTGGCGCCCCTCAGTCTGACTGGAGAGGACTCTCCCTCCACATTATTGTAACATCTTCTTCTTATATCAGTTAGAGCAGCTAGCACCAGATTCTAATAACAACAGCGCCGGTACCGGTGCACCCTCCCTCTCTCCCTCGCTCACTCACATTTTGGCTGTGAGCTGCGGGCACCAGATAAGCCAACATTCCCCATTTTCATCACTTACAGCGTCCATCGTACAGGGCAAATGAAACGTGTAACCGGGGCGAAAAGGGGGCGAAAAGGGTGTTACATTTACTTAATTATGAATATTGTTAAATCAAGGCCGAAAATGAGGATGAGCACCAACGGTCAAAAATGTTTTTTTCCCTCCCAGAGCTACCAGCGCAGCGCCTCCCCAGATCTGGCGCCCTAGACGAACATCTATAACGCCAGTGCTACGGGCCGGCCCTGTATATCCTTCCAGTAATAAAACGTAATGCACAATGCAATGGTACACAGTATCCAAAGTCTTTAGGCACTGGTTGGAGGCATTCATGTAGGCCTAAAGCAGATCGCCAGAATCCAATACTGGTAAAAACGTTACAGAGATCAAATGTTTCCTTGTCTGAAAGGAGAAACCTAATTTTAAAACAACATTTTCAGTGTGTGACTTGAAAGATAAGTTCTGATCAATAATACAACCTAGATATTTGTATGTAGTGACCCTTTCAATGTCAATGTCAGTCCCTTGAACAGTACAAATGTTGGGGAGAAAATAAGTTAACTTTTTGCCATTTGAAAATATAATGAGTTTGTATTTGTCTGCATTTAATACTAACTTGAGTTGAGATAAATTAGATGGAATAACATCATGAACAATAAATAACAGTACCATCTGCATAAAAATGGAAAGCAGCCTTTGATAAATTATTACAGAGATTATTTACATATATGGTGAAATTATTGGTCGGGTTCCATCTACTTTCAGTGTGTAAAAGGAGTCTCCTATTTCCTCCACGATAGCCTCAGTCACCACATTGCTGAGTGTACTTATGAGTTCATTTTGCATTTCGTGACAAGTGTAAGTGGTGTTTCGAGGGATTGATTTCACTACATCAGCCAATTTGGGGTCTTCTTTTATCGTATAGTCCAGCAGGGAGAGGAAAAGGCCACTGCCCCCCTCTGACATGTTATCAAAAGCCTCTATCTTCCCTCGTAAAGGCAGCTGGTTTTCCACCAGAAATCAATAAGAGAGGAGATATAATACCTGTTTTTTCATAGTTGGTCTGCGTTAACAAGTGTATAAATCTCCTTTCCAGTGCTGGCACGCCTCTCTCGCTCCTTCCACATTGCATAGCAAGAGAGATGCTCCTTTGAATGTGCATGTTTCTGAAAACCCTTGTCTCTCTCCACCGCATTTTTCCAGTTACGGAAGCCAACAGACATAAATGCATCCATTCTCCGGGTTTTGCTAGACTGCCGACGGCAGAAACAAAATGCAGCATCGGCCTTGATACTGTATTCAAGCCAGTCTCGGTTGTGATACCAAGCAGAGACAAACGAACGCCTCCTGCCAGTGAGGATGCTGTAAGGGTACTGTTTTAAGAAGATTTGTTTGGGCTGATCAGTTCCAAGATCATCTATGGGTTGTTGAATTCCAGCGCTAACGTTAGCTGCAGCAGGTGGATGGGCTTGGCTAGCAGATTGGCTGGTCGAAGAGCACGGCTCCAGCTCTTCAGAGGTGGTGCCGCCGGCGATGCTGGAGATGGGTGCATTATTCCCTTCGTTTTCAGGAGGTGGAGGAGGAGGCCGTGTAGCAGCTGTACCTTGCAGTCATTTACGTATATCCATTACTTTATTACTGTCCGACAGTCCGAGCATTAGCTTCGTCTCACTGACTTGCTAATTATGCCACATTTTTTTGAATTAATAACAACAAATCAAAGGCCGGGGTCATTGGTCAAGAAACACACCTTTTACAGTAGACACTTGCGGCAGCTGACATTTGTTCGTGCTGGTTTAGTAGACTCGCCGGCCGATTTTATTAACCTTAGACCGGATGACGGACAGTCGGAAGGTTGAAACGTGTTTGCATAGAGCACGGGAGTAACCAGTACAAGCGACGACAAATCACACACAACCTCTTCCCCGAGACATTACTTCAGACTTCCTTCCCCGTCTAAAAAAAACCAAACATAAAAGTCTAAGATCGCGTGAGCTCGACCAAAGAGGTAAGAATGGTATGGATGGAATCATTTACAGTCCTTGTAAAATCGCGGATAAGTAGTGATATGATTGTAGTCAACAGGGGAGGGACCACGGTCCTGGTTGTCTAGGTAGAGATCCGGGAGTCGTCGGACAGGGGGGTATTACGACTTGGACTTGGTCGCAAAAGAGGGTGAGCTTCCTCCACTCGTCGTAACACAACTTACTGTACGGTGAATTGTAGAAACTTCCCTCTGTGACATTATGTTTTATATATATATATAGTTTGTTTTTCGATTGTAGATTAAAATTAAGTATGTAAAGTTTGTGTCATATAAAGGGTGATATCGGTTACTGATATATGGATTTTGTTTTTTGACGAAAATCAGATAAATGCCTACGGACCTTTCAAACTTGTGCGCGGCTGCACTAGTCAGGCGGACATAAGTCCATTTGTTTGTCGTACGAATGGAGGGGTGTCTGTAAAACCAATACTATAATATGAAGTTACAGATAATATAAGTGTTGCGTCTCCACCCCTTGGGAGGCCGGGCCCGTCATATGCCTGGCGATCTGTAGACCCATGCCGGGAGCTCCATTAAATATTTGTTCACCGGGACACGGACCACCACCCGGGTTACACTATATAAAAGGTACCCGGTTTTAGGGGACCGCCTCGGGGACCCCGATGGCATCAACGTGTAACTACTTGTGAAATTTGGATTTTATTACGAATTGCACATTTGACTCGGCCTAAAAATCGAAACTCGATTAAAGTAGACACTCAGGGCAGTGTATGTCGTATACTTCTTGTGACTGTCAATATATATGTGTGTTTATTTATTGTACTATACGTCTTTGCTCGTACTCGTCGTTCGTAAATGGTGTACCTCATGTTACATGTCGATTACATATATGGTACGTTCTATTCTATTTTTGCGCGGATGTATTTTCTACGTTCTCCTGCTATGGGGATCACAATTTCACGTAATAAATCGCCAGCTAATGGTGCAGAAAAACAACGAGTTGGTAGAGAAATCAACTGGAAATTTTGATGACTCTCCCCTGTTAGGGCATTAGAGTGGACCCCCCGAGTAAGGTGTTCTCGACGGAAATTAACCTCTCCTGTAAAACAGGTTTCCACCAGTGCAGACACCACCTGAAGTGTCAGAGGAGACAAAGACGTCGGATCACGACGCAGGTCAGCACAAAAGACACCTATTTATATTGGGGGTTCCTCCCCCGGTCGTGTACATTTATGGAATAAAAAAATTTTGTGTATTGGAGAAATTTTCTGTATTCTAACAGTTTTGAGTTCTTAACACTAAAGTTCCTACCATGTCACCCACGCATACTGACACCCGAAGAGACAGTTTTTGTGGACCTATTCGAAGAGAACTTGTCGACAAGATACCCAAAGTCCACACACCGTGGTTCGTTTGCTGGTCAAACATTTTGTCATAAGTACACCCTATCTTGAGTATGTCACCCCTCCATACTAAACGTCGTAACTGTCAATTCTTTTCAGATTAAACAAATTCTTACAACGTTCAGACTTAAATTACCATAAGCCTATGAGAAGAACCTATAGCAAAGAATTTTTCAGTCACGCTCAGGGTTATACTTTGAGGGACAAGTTTATATGGAACGTGACCTTCTGGATCAAGATAAACGAGGTAAATTTTTATGTAACCTAGGAACTAAAACTAACTAGCAAAATGACTTGTAGCAGCAAACGTAGTTGTACGTATGACAAAAAACAAATGAGTATGACAGTTATACGTCTAACACAATATATCGAAATCTATGCTTAGCAAAAAAGTAAGGAGAAACGTATTAGAGGCGTAGGTGTTAG